AAAAAAAACCACCACAAAATGAATATTTTATTGCGCAACACATTAATTCTTTATTCACAGCTTGAATGAACATAATTTTACATTCAACATACACACACAACTCGTAATACTAACCACATATCTCCATCATAGATAGTTTTGTCGTTTGGGGCAGCAGCATGTCCATAATGCAGAATAGCCCCATTCGCTCCACTTCCACAAATACAAGTGTACGACACATGCCGGCAGCCTCCAACATAATAACAATACTGCAGAAATATAGCTTCAGCCTGGTATTCTTTCATACCAGGTTTTATCTTTCTCATTACTTGAATATGCGCTTCGGAAGCAATTTTGTTGGTGTAACGAATTACCTCCAATTCCATACTGGTTTTCCTCACTCGGCTGGAAAGACAAAAATTAAACAAACCAGAGAAACTTAGGGCTGTTAATCCATATGAATGTTTCTTGAAGTCAGTAATTGTTTTAAATAATTTTAATGGGAATTAATTTTAGAATCGCACAGCAAGACTAAGAACAATTTTTGAAAATATAATTGTGACCAAAACAGCTCATGCTCTCCTATTATAAAGCAAAAATTACTTGATAAATACTATTTCCTGCTAAATGAGCTGATAGAATTAATAACAATACCCCTTCATTTTGAACTAAAAAGATGTTATGATCAAAAGATTTTTGAAGATATATTCAACTTTGGTGACAGGAAAGTTCAAAGAATGTTCAACAATTCAGTTTACACTATTATATATTTATATCAAATTTCATATTTATATATTATGTGTAATAATTATATACAAAATGTACAAGGAGACTAACAAATTATCAGGACATATCAAGGAGTAGATTTTTCTAACTTTTCAATTTTTTCTGTTAAGTAATTCTGTAGATCCTCTCTCTTTCCTTTTAACATCACTAGCTCAGAGTATTTCAAACCAACCACACTAATTCCTAAACGCTTTAAGTGTCTTTTTTTCATCAATTGTGGGCCATTAAGGTGCACTCCTTTGGAACAGTAATGTTCTGGGAGATGAATCAATACAGCAATACACAAATCACGATCTTTTGAAAAATCAAAAGTGTGCAGTGAGGTCTCCATTCCTTCAGGATGAAGTAGGATATCCACAAGATAAAGATCAGCAGCAGGCAGTTGCGGCAACAGAACTCCAGTGCTCACTCGGTGACAGGACTCCACAAGATCTGCTATAACATCATACACTTGTTTCACAATTCGTTTCAAACGGCCATCTTGAGGAAGTGTCTTTACAGCATAGTCACGAGGTAATAAAGGTCCTTGATACTGAGGGCACTCTAAAGTCATGGCAGCATCAAAAATCTTAAGCTTAGTCCGCAGCTGTTGAAGCTCAATTCCACTTCTGCAGGTGTGCATTCTATCAAGAAAATAAGGATTTAAAATCTTCTTGGTGAGGTTCACTGGAAATTTTTCTAAATATACACAAGAAAGTACAACATCCACAATATCTTCAGGTCTAAACTGAATAAATTTTTCCATCATAAAGTTTTCAACAGTTTGCCAAAACTTCATCCTATTTGAAGGTGTATGACTAAAATATCCCAATGGCATCAAAAATGATTTAAAATGGACAGGAGAAAGATTTGAAGCATTGGATATTATATAATCTGCAAAAACATCTAGCACAGCAGGAAATCGAAGGCGATATTTAACACAATATTCCATAACAGCACTCAGAAGCAAGGTGCTTTTCACTTTTGGCCCTTTAGTTTTCAAATATTTTTCCAAAAATCCTTCAATATAATCATCCACATAATCACATGCAGAAAAACAGGTAACAATTTGAAGTACATCATCTTCTGAAAGTGTATTTATATTAGTACTAGTATTTCGGGCCATGAGTCTCAAAGTTGGAACTGAATTTATCTGAATCTGTTGGAGGGATGTAAGTATTTCTATTACACTGCTTGGATGTAATCGCCACCATAAATCATCACATTTCCGGGTCAACATGTTGAATATCATTTTCCGACTTTGTTTCAAGTGAGGAAGTGTTTGAAAAACCTCACCTATGTTGTTTTCATTAATCTCTCGCCCTCTATCAATTAGCCCACTCCAAAGTTCATCAATGACCTCTTGCTTACTTTCACACTTCATAGTAGACAACATATTTACTATTTCACACATCTGATGTACAGTGAATTTTCTGTCATTAGCTCTAATCAACACTTCATTAATTAATTTCTTCTTGTATGATGCATCACGGGCTCCTATTGTGTCCCGGCTCACAATGTTCAAACTATTCAATATAACAGAACTCTGTACATTACAAACTACAAAATTCATCAATCTATCAAGGGTATTTGTACGCTTTACACTCAAACTACTACCAGTACTTCGTAGCATATTGCGAAAGGTAACATTATTTTCTAGTTCAATAATTCTTTCTAGGGCATGAAGCACAATACTAGACGACAGTTCACCATCATGTAACACATTTATCATGCCATATAATTCTTTTAAGTCATGGCATCTCTGCAAGCCATCCAGTAATGTTTGTTCTTCAGCCAGTTCTCCTTGGCTCTCTTTGGTTGCAACAGTTAAATGTATATCTTTATCTTGAATACTGTGCCCTACAACATCCACTGTTTTCACTTTTCTTACTATAGTGGGCACCTCTTGAATGTCTAACCTGTCCTGTACCATAACTGTTGTATGACCTAAATCTTTAGTTTTATCAATGTTTTTGCCGAAGGGTTTCGAAATAGAATTTTTCTTGGATGCATATCTGAAAACTGACACAACAGGAAACTCCGGCAAAATCATTCTCGTGGTTCCAAAAATGTGCCGGATGACAACACCTTGGGACATTTTATCCCGCGTGATTTTCTGCAATAAATATGAACATTCAAGTTACATGGAAAAAGTCAACATAAAATTTTGTCATTTCCGGTGCCAAAAACTGTTCGCGTGCCACCAGAAAACGTGACAAGCGTTGCGATAAACAAATCAGGTTACAACTTCACTATAACGAACTATACAAACATTACGAGTAACTTAACCTCAAACGTTAATACATTTAATATAAATTTGATGGTTTGACATTTCAGGATTTCGCTTACCATTCTGCAATTTCAGGAAACAGAATATTTTTATTAACAGTAAACCTGAAAACAGAAGAAATGAAATGTGTTAAACAGTAATTATTATGTAAGCAAATTGACAAGAGAACGCACCAACGCGCATCACATATGAACTAGTGCTGCTATCTATGAGTAACTTTCATAAAAACAATAATACAAACTGTACTTTAGCGCTCATGCGGCATCTTTACGAATGTGTTTATCAACGCTAATTGAAGTATTCGAAATCCATATATGCCGCTCTCCATTCTAATTGTTGCACAACATGCGTCGGCTCATCGTTAATTTTCTTAAAGAATTTCGAATTGCTCATAAGTGCATTGTGAGATGTATCTACTTTCACATGAATGTCTTATATTTGACTATTACAATCAATTATCTCTCGATGAATCCTTCATATAGTATAAACGTAGCGTATCATGCTGCCTATGTTTACGCATAACATCAAAGTGCAGTGAAATAATATTTATTTTTATTGCTTACTTGCTGATTCCGTCGAATTCAGCTGCTCGAGCAAAGTGATTGCTATCAGTATTCAGACCGTTCTGAAAAAAATAGAGCAATTGTTACATTTTGGTTTTACGTCAACGAAAAATCTTTCACACGAAACAATTTCTTCAAATACACAGTTATAATCTTCAGAAAATACCAAGGGAAGGACAGTACCAAAATCTGCTGCAAAAGTTTGGCAGATTATTTGGAGAGGCACGACCCTTCATGCCTACTATTTCCCTGAAAACCTCCCGTTTCATCCAAGAGCATAGTTATTGTTACTTTCTTGTATTTGTTATGTAAAGAAAAGTATGTAATGCAGCAAAAACTCCATGTCGAGATTTTCGTAGAAATACACATACAGACCATCCTTGATACATTTTTTTCTTTCTTTCTTAAAACTGCAACTTCAACTCATCAGTTCATTTTCCTGTTAACAATACTAGCGCCAATAGCACCTAAACCCACTGTCAACGCGCGAATCTCAAACAGCGATCTCAAGATTAAAGTTTGCTAACGAAATGAAGAAACCTGTAACAGTTTTTGAGAGCCATTTCTCAGAATTTACAAAATATAGTAAACAATGTATTAAATGTAATTGATTAAAGTATTTCCAAGCTCATTTGATATATTTCAACATCAATGATTGAAAAAATAACGGCCAATCACATTCAAAAATCAGACCTCAATCCCGTTATCTGAAGCATGGCGCTGCGAATATTCCATGATCTATTCATAGCTCAATGATCTGAACTGAACATTCGAACTCTTTAATATGATTTATCAAATTTTCAGAAAATGCTAGGGAGTCGAATCACGTCAATCGAATTACTCGCAACGTCGATAGTGGCAACATTCAATGTTCACGGTAGCTCGGGAATTTGCATCAGCAGGTAACTAGAACTAGAATTCTTTGTAGCGGAAAACTATTAACTGCGGAGATCTTCCGGCTACACGAAGGAAGTGTTTTAAGTTTTGTGGTAACACAAAACCCAGCCTTAGGGATAAGGAAGAAGTAAAATTAAAAAAGTTCAAAATATTTAAATTCGAACTTTAAAATGTTCATAGCTGAGGTGTCCTTCGTACCCTCGAGCGCATCGCAAGATGCAGCTCGCAGGGGTCCATAACACCGGAGAAGTCGGTATCGCATGCCTTCTACCCAGGAGGCGAAGGCGGAAAGCTCACTGTTCAAATGCCATCGTGGGCGAGGGTTCACCATCACCTCTACCAAGAAATCATGTTTGCTAAATACTTTTGCGCCGATAAGGCTTGCGGAGTAGTAAACATCAAACCGTCGAAAGTTAGAATTTTGAAGAATCACGTGATGTATTTATCAAATTCTGAATCTAAACAGAATGACTTAATTTCTGATTTTCATGTTAGGCAGCTCGCTCTATGCATTTTCCTATCCGCAGCCAGGCAGCACGTTCTCTCAGAGCGAGTCTGCAAGAGGTTTTTTCACACACACACACACACCAAAGGGCCGTTTATATTTAGAGCAGCTCGTTCGATCTTCGGAATGCTTCAGTACTTCATCGGAGGAAGCTACGGATTGTAACAGAGCAACCGGCCTCCAGGCACTGGCGTCGTCATACGCAACTGTGATGTGGAAACAGCCACAGTCGGGACTCGAACCAGAAGCGAGAGGTTCTGGGTTGACAAGCTTCCAGGGAACTGCATTCTCGCATACACTCAATGATTTTCACGTTACGCTGTAGCAAACGTGATAATACCCTTAGTTCAGAAATTTCAAAGAAATAATATCAGCTTTTTTAGAAACTTATTTAATAACGTCCCACGATGGTTTTTGTCCCTCATTCACTGATAATACTAGTTCCTTGAATTAATAGTGACATTGTTGGAGTGGAAGGGTAAACTAAACGGATGTCGTAAGCTGGGTAAACAACAATTAACCATTCATCTCTGGTTCCCCCTTTTCCGCCACTTCCTTATCAATTTACTAGATCAGTTGGTACCGCAGAAGAGCTTTTGTCCTCGCCTCAACAAGAGTTGAAGGGATCGGAGGAGGGCGTCCCTGGAAGAGGGGACCGGGCTGGGGGACACCGGAAAGGACCCAGACGAAAACAACTCCCGCCCTTTACCCTCTGCTGCCCCCTCTCCACGCGCGTCCAGGCGCCCATCGTTAAAGGGCTCCTTGGGTTCAACGAGCGCCCCCACTCCGCAACCGCCATCGCCGTTGCCACCACGGCCGCCGCCGCCGCCGCCGCCGCCGCCGCCATCACCGCGGGAGGCCGATGCCTTGTGGCCTCGCTACGGCCGCGCGGTGGCGGCTGCGGCGGCGGCGGCGGCTAGGCGGAGTGCAGGTATTTAAACTGCCTCCCGCTGCATTCCAGGGAGGCGCGCGGCGTTGCCACGTCGGCCTCCAGGGCCTACACCACACGCAGCCGCCGGCTCTCACATCCACAACACGTGTGCGACTGCGAGGCCATCTTCAAAAATTGGGGAATAAAACGCCGTGATTCATATTGCCACTAGACATGCTTTGCTAACTGGCACGTTTTGAGAACCACAAGTACATATGGTTGTAGATCTAAGGAATGTCGAATGAGAGGTGGTTTGTCATCTCCAGCCATGTCACCGGCTGAGATGGCTCAGGACAACACATTGTGTCCCTGCATCGTCTCTGACCGTGAAATCCTAGGATTCGAGATTTGTCGGTGTCTACAAGTATGTGTATTTTTCTCTTTCCCTCTTTCTCTCTGTCTCTCCCTCTCCCCCCCCCTCTCTCTCTCTCTCTCTCTCTCTCTCTCACACACACACACACACACACACACACGCAAACACACAACAACAACAACAACAACAACAACAACAACAACAACAAATACCATACAAACAGGCGTACAAAATCCTCCACAGAAACCACCAATCCACAGAAAATACCAATCTCCTCGGTCGGACAGAAGTACTAGCGACAGTCAATCCACTCACACACGTTTGATTTGATTTATTATAAAAAAGGCAAAACAGTGACATTGGTTCGTGATTCTCCTCGAGCTAAGCATAGTTTAAATAAAGGTATTATGTTGTTTTTACAGGTCTTATTAAAACTACCCAAAATGCGATTAGCGTGCTTGTAGGGGTTAGGGTTATATAATTATTTTTGCCTTCTTTTCAGTCCGTCTATTGTGTTTAGTGTCCGAGCAAAACATGACGTATGAACTACGTGCAAAGAAGTACAGTAGTTTATCTGAAAGTAAACTTTGTAATTAAACGCTTAGGTTTTCACATGGGGTCTTGCGAGTTCAGTCAACACAATAAAATTATTTTTTTTCTAGAAGTTCTTACAAACATATTTTCTCAAAATAGGTATATGCAAAATTCCTATTCGGTGTTCGTCTTCCGGGAGGATGAAGGGGGGGGGGCTGGAGTGGAAGAGGGAGAGGGGAGCGAAGGGAAGGGGGCGGCCGGGTGCAACTGTACTCCATTGTCATCTGATAAAACTTTAACTACGAATGAAACATACTTTTTCGTATTATTTGTAATAGATACATAATAAAGATAATGCAACTTGTGTCCTACGTACTAAATCTTCAGCAATTTCATTGAACTCTCTTCAGCAAAACAAGTAGAGGAGACTCGAATTTGCAATTTTCCAGTGTCCACAGGTCTTAATAAATCATCATAATGTTGAGCGTACTTCGGTATACTTGCGGGAAGTCAGAAAAGAAAAAATTGAAATCATCAAAAAAATGAAAATGCCTTACGGGCTATATGTAAAGTCCTCTCAAAAATTAAAAGACCTGTTGAAAATTTGCAAGGCCGAGAGTTCACCCAGATCGATTGGTGAATCCAAATTGATTTCCATTTTGATGAAAGTCCTGTGTACGATTTACTCACTAGTGTTACTTACAGACGGACAAAAGCCGGTTTGAAAAGAAAAAAAATAATATCTTCGGTATCCGGGACTCCTAAAACGTGTAGTTTCGTCAACATTTCGACTTCGATTTTACAAGGGTCAATAATTATCTGCTCTTTCGTCTATCATTTGACTGTACAACTTTGTGCACTTAGCAGCCTTAAGATATCATCGTTCACTCTGCTTATGGTAAGTTTCAGCGTTATCATTTAGTGTTCGCTTGCGTTGTTTCGACATAAACATGGCTGCACCACTCTCCGTTTGCACAAAAAAGAACACGCTTTCGTAATCCCTTTTTGTGATCTGAATGTGTAGAAGCTGAAATCTTTAGACGACTTTCAGTACAATGTGCATGAAATCTTTTTTCATTAGCAAAGAGCTCACTAGTGGATTGAACCATCCAAAAACAGTCAAACAAGCATGCAGGATGAGGAAAAAGGAAAAAAAATGTCAAACTAATACTGATTGAGCAAGTTCGTGCGCTGATTCTGAATAACCTTTGAGTGACTATTGATTAAGTGGAAGACCATATGTGCACGTTTGTTAGGTTCTACATTCTATGCGAAGATGGATTGGGGAAAACCATTCTTTTGTAGCAAGACAACGAAGATCAACATCCCGCCAACTTAGCTCTTCAAAATCTGAATTTTGAATCAATCAATTAAGAAAAACACGTCCCCATACGTCACATACAGTTTTTACTGTTTTTTACTAAATAAATCTAAATAATAAATATTTTTTGGACGAGACTTGAACCTGACACCTTGGGTTCGTGATGGTAAACTTGTTCAAAATGAAGCTAATTAATGCCATGGATGAAAAATGCTTGCAATATATTCTCAATGCTCTCGTCGGTTCACATTCTTAAGGGAGAGATTGTGATGTGTAAGTGGAGAGACGATACCTGCACTTTTATACCCATAAATCGGGATGTCAGAATGGATGTGTCACACTGTCAGATAAGAAGCTGAACTCAAACTTGGCAAATATTTCAGGAATGAGATGTAGTTGTTCTGTAAATGTTGAAGATATTTTAATTTTGGGGTTTTCATGAAGCCCGTGTGACAAATTCAAAATATTCTGGAAAATGATTGAATTTTTTTTTCTTGGAATTTTTTGCTTCAAGTGCATTTATAAGTATGGTATAGTATCGATTTTCACTAAAACTGTGACATTTAAAAACTTGCAAAAATCTTTATACTTAGAGCACGTTTCGTTTTCGCTGAAAAAGAAGTTTGTGCTTTCTACATAACCAAATATCATTTTTGCTATAAAAGAAAGGTAGTGGCCCCAGATATATAATCTCTTGCTGTTATTAACCGGTTTTATGGTATGAACATTAAATTGCAATAAAATTAACGCTTATCTGCCGTCATATGCTCATTATTTCATTGTGTCCGTTGTATCAGATCTGATAGTTGAACTCGTGTGATTACATCGCACAACAGAAAGATCTGAAGTTAAGTTACAACAGACAAGTACTTTAAATGTCAGGTACGGAAAATATCAAAACCTCAAAAATAGTTTTAATGTCGTTCAGTATTCGGTAATTGACAGATTTACACATTCCGGAAAAAAACATATTTCAGAACCACACCAAAGGGGTCATGGGGCTTCAGGCCCCCCTCCCCTCGATAAGCATACGATACATTTTTAAAAATATAGTTCATATTCAGGATATAAGAAACAGTTTTTAAAAGAAAACATCAAGTCTCCCGTACACTAAATCTGTAGTCCTCTATAATTGTGAGCGTCTCTAACATTCCGTTGTCTAGACATGACCATGTGCCACGTATGTTGTAGACATCCTGAAGTTGTCCCTAAAACCCAGGGGACCCAGGAATCAATGGAAAGCGCGCAAAAACGACCCGCAGCCTGCCTGGGCCAACACCTGGCGCTGCCCGAAACCCAGGGGTGCCATCCCCTCTTTCTCGGTAAACGGAAGCAACGGACTTTGCATCGAACGGGATGGGATGGACTTAGCGTATTTCAACTGTCCTGTAGGGCAAGTCCGGCCGTTACTGCAGCACCTTAGGAATCTGCCCTGCCCTGCCAGATAGAACATTCGCCTTCGCGTTTGCCCTTGAGCAGTGAACTCGCGCTTTCTTGGCGGCGCGGAGGACGGGTCACAGACGGAGTGCAGTGCGGGGCCGGCCGCCCGCCCGAACCACTTTCCCCGTTGGTGCAACGCTGCGGCCGGCGCGGCCGCCCGCATGGCAACGCCGCGCCGCGCCGAACCAAAACAAAGTGGGAGCGCTACGCCATGAATGGCCGCTTCGCCGCCGCGCGGCGCTCGCCTCGCCTCGCCTCGACTCGACTCACCTGCCGGCACATTCAAAACACTCACCGCTCGCCCACCGCGCGGTAGGATGGTGGGGGAGGGGAGGGGGGAGGCGGCAGAGGCCGAGTCACGACCGTGCATTCCCAGCCGCCCGGGCAAGATGGCGGCGCCCGGTGTGCCAAGGCCTGAGCGAGCGCGCCACGCGGCGCCGCGTGGCCGCCGAGCAGCCCATATGGCGCGCCCCCCCCCGCTTCCACACACACACTCCACCGCACGCGCACGTTATCTTGAGCGCGTCCCACACGCCTTTACTAACGTTAGTCGAATCAAGAGTTAAATGATAGCTAGGAGATTTGTTGACGAAACCTGATAATAGAAAAATTCGCTTTCATGTAACAGAAACTATTTTGCATCGAAGAATGAGCTGCGGATTTGATAACATAGTCCGTCGGTCAAAATAATAATCACCCCCCCCCCCACTCCTCTCGCATCTAGCGAAATGGCATCTCGAGAAAACGTGAGCCCACAGAATACCATGTGGCTTTCTGCTCAGTGGTGGGCTGGCCATCGACCAGGGTCGGCTCGTACTTACGTCGCACCGTTGCTCAACCCCCCAGATAATCGACAAATGTCTTATAATAGTTAGGTACAATCATTTCGGGTGACTTTGCATCATGAACCAGCTTAATGATTGTTTGGTAAACTAAGAGCTAGAGATGGTATTTTCGGTTCCTTTTATCCTTATTGTTTTCCGGGGAGTTAAAATACACGAAACGGCAACACCGTTTTGCTCGTGTTTTTCGTTCTTGCCGGTTGAGCTGCCAACAGAAGTTGGACGTTTTTTTATAGATGAGTAAAATTCAAATATTTTCTGAACATGATACATTACATTAAAGGTTTATTATTTACTAATTATTTACAGTTTTATCATACTATCATGAAACCTTCAATTAGTTCATGCTATTTAATGTTCCAGATCTTAAATGTAAAATAAGGGTGACTTGGTACAAGGGAGGACAAAATCATCAGGTATGGTACACAGTTACCCTGATGCGTTTTTTTACACACTATTTATGAGATTAGTTGCTTGTTAAATTACATACTATCATTATTTTCAGCGCCGAACATTTACTACTTGATGAAAGCTCTTATCGGAGATATTCTACGAAACATTATTAGTATATATTCAAGATATAAGAGTAGGTACATTTTTTTAGAGAAAAGCCGAAAGTCTTTACAAAACTCCAAAGTAAAGAATTAGTTACAAGGTAATACTTCTACTAGTTGTGTATCTGAAACTTAAACCGTTTATGTTGACTCTTCTAGCACTTTCCATACAATCAATTGGAAGTTTTGATTATCTAGATGATGGGATCGTTGCAAGTACGCAGAAGAAAAATAAAGAACAAATGTTTGAGCAATCAATTTGCAGGGACAGAAATATATCAAACAATACAGAAAACATAAAAGTGTAATGCATGCAACGCAAGGAGAAAGGCCATGAATGGCCATGAATGGAAAGGAAATGGCCATGAATTGAAAGACGAAATATTTTATGGTCTTAGGAAATCTCAGAAAAAGATAAATACTGCATGAAGAGCATGCATGCCCAAGGGAGTAAGAGATCCCATCATATAGAGCTGTAAATCGCTCCTAGACAGATAAATGATATTGGATTTTTAAGTTAAGATAACTTTGTAGGGCCTTTTTGTGTTAATTAAAATTTATTCAGTCCCGAAGTTACGTGCCTACGTGATATAAAGGCACCATACCTCTTCTACCTTAGTCCAATGCAACTTGCAGGCATTCTCAAAGTAGAGACCAGAACTTCACGCACCATAAAAGTTAAAAATATGCATGCAACCATGTACTTAAAATAGCCAATATAGAATGCGATTAAAACTAAAAATATGCGTTAAAAATATAGTTAGTAACAGAAAACATTTATTTATATAATCTTCACTTTACACTGTAGTACACAAACCGCATGTAACAAACATGTATTGTCAAACATAATAAACAAACCATTAAGCGAGATAACCAATAATATTGTTACAAGATTTCTTAACTTTCAGCCCAGTTCATCAACTTCATGCGCAAGAATAAAGTTGCAGGAAGTAAATCGATTCAAACCTAAACAATCTTATCAGAAGACTATCGGAAATTATGTTGGTATTGTAAATAAACGGCTTGTAAATGAAAACATGTCTAGGAAGGTCTCTAATATTTGTAAAATTGTATTAAAACCTTAAAAAACTAAATTTGGTTTTACAAAAAAAAAAAACTGTTTTGTGCCACAAAGTAACCAGAAATGACTGCACGTACATTTTCCATATAATGAATTCAATATTTAAGATATTGCAGCAATATCGATGTATATGAAATCAATTTTGAAATCAAAGAGCTCTCTCCGGCGTCTCGTGCGCTCCCAAGCAGCGCACCACGTGACGCTCTCAGCCCTTTTCATTGTTTACTCTTTTGCCGCGCGTTCCAGTGCCTCGAAACTGCTCCCCCCCCCCTTCCCCTCGTTTTTTTCAGCACCGCAACGGTTTGGATAGAGCCACAGCTCCGGCGTACCACACAGAGAGGAGAGGGGGGACATCGCCGGCCTTGAAGTAGGGATGCGACACGCATGCCGATGTTTTATAGAAACATACATGTTTTAGACACTGATTTGTAAAGGCCCTATTTTTTTTTTTTTTTTTCGTCTATGTTTTGTGCTTGGTGTTTTTCCGTTTTCGATGTCTTGTTTCTGAATAAAATGACCCGTAATAAAAATTTTGTAAACATGAAAAAAAAATGAAATAATAATTGACGACATTACTGTGTTCGCCTTCGTATTCCAAATAGACGGGTTGCACTATCTTGATCGAGCATGCTCTTTCCTCCGCGGTGACCCCCATGCCCTGGTATTTTCTACTCATTTCGCAGAACCACGCCCACCCCGTGGGTCAAGGACATCCGCCCTTCTTTCCCTATCCTTCTTTGACGATCTGACGACTGACCTTTTGAGATGATACAGAGTCGTCAGGCTTTCAGCCTCAGTTTTGTCCTTTGTTATCTTTTGACCTTATCTTCGGATAAATATTATTTTTAAATTAGTAAACATAGCCATGAAAAAAATAAAATTTTAATGCGCACCAATGTAATGTTAGAAGATACTAAACCAACTTAAAAACATCGTTGGTTTTTGGTTATATTTTTAACAATGTTTTAATTTTGGACATCGCTATTTGGAAGAGGAATATAAATTTTCTGTCTTCGTCTGAAACTACTAAGCTGCATCTTAAATTTCCTGGCATTAGGCAATTATTAGAATTATTAGAATTTCCTGGCATTAGGCAAAAACTAGAAATTAAAATTGGCGATTTTCGAAAATACAGACAGTTCGCCGGAAATGATACTAGCACCAATTTTTTACCTTTGGTTTATGAGAGGAGAAATTTGGTCCTTTGATATATGAGAGAAGAATTTTTAAGTAAACATTTGAAACAGTTTTTTTAGAAACTCCTGTTCTACAAAATGCATTTGAAGATATTTAGATTTGTCACCCCATCTATGACTCGTACGTAAATACTTAAACATTTTTGTCATACGCATTAAAATATGTAACGATAAAAGAACAATACATACATTTATAAATTATAAATTTATGTACTACATCCTTTTTTTTTTTCTTTTTTTTCTTCTTAGGCAATATTAAATGATTGAGGACTATTCCGATTATTGAGAGAACTGTACCACTAGGAATAAAACTTAACACGAATCGAGCGCATTCTTAGGGGAAAGTGCTAGGCAATAGGGACTTACGGGGGAAGTGCTACTGAATCACCGTAATATGAGAAAATCAAAGCATCAACAAGCACCACTCACCAGCACTAGGAGCACGGAGGGGCACCACTCGTAGATGCTCTCGAAAATGTGGGCGATCTGTAACAGAATAACCACATCTTAAACCGTTCGTCTCTCACTGGAGATCTCATGAATTTCATAAGGCACGTCGGACAGCAATTTCGACCTAGTAAGCAGGCATACATCAAAATACTAAAAAACTTGAAAAACAAAAGGCAATTATGCGACATATTCCCGAAATTTAATCTCTTTCCAGTCTTACCTTCTCGTACGGTTTGTATGTATTTGGCATTTTGGGAGGATAATCCGACTTTGCCGGCTAGCTAATGGTGTTCCCTATGCCTAGGCCTAGTTTAATTCTGGGACTAGTTTAATTCTCACGCTTGGAGGGTAAAAGAGTCATGTGGCGAACATGACGTATTTCCCTTCACTGTAGCTAGCAAACACCGTCTGCCTGAGCTTTTCTTCGACTCACAGTTTCAGAAACTGCGACGATTTGAAATCTACAACTCTGTATTTGCCCTGACAGAGATTCGAACACGGATCGCACCATGGGAAGCTAGCAAGCTGCCCATGAGCCACCTTAGGGCTTATTTTCTCGTATACGTACGTATATACCAAATAATATACGTAGTGCAGAGAACATTTTGTAATGCTGCGGCGGAAAACTGTGATTTTTCAACAGAAAAAATTCTGGGACCGTGATACAGAAAAAGTGGATAAATGTGGTTCCAATATGTAATAATTACTTCCTTTAACACGCTGTGTAGTCAGATGTAATTTGTGAGTCATTGACACCGAAAAATTGTTTATGGCAAAATGTCAGTCAGCCGCCTGAGAACAATGCTAGCGCCTAAATTTTTCGTATTATTTTCCCAAAATGAATATTCTGTATTAATTTCGAATGAAATATGAGCAGCATTAAAAAAATATTAAAATTATGATTTTCTCAAAAAAGAGTCCAATTTTTGCTTTAAACTTTTTGTACCGACAGTGCTACATATAAGTACTGTAAAAGATGACATACACTCCATTTTGTAGTATTCTTTTGTTTTTGTCAAAATTACACAAATGTAATATTTTTGACATCAACCTCAAGTCGTTAATATTGACATTACCGGCGATTAGTATACATCATTACATAAGTGAAAACTAGTGCTTCAAATAACGTCTGATTAAGTTTCTCAAAAAATCAAAAATTTGCTCTAAAAATTAGATTGAAATTCCGCATTATCAGAAATACTTAAACCACATTTTCAAAACAAGTCAAATTTTTTTTCAAAATTTTCAAATTGTATAGGAGCAGAGTAAGGTACCATTCTATAACATCATTAAAGTCATTTTTCAATCCTATTATTAGGTATACGAAAATAAGAAGAAAACAGTTTATGCGTTAATGCAGCTGAGAAGAAGGTGGAGCAAAACCTTTTAGAGAGCTCAGACTGAAGAGAAACGTAAATTAACTAGTGCGATAAACTATGTGTCATTTTGTGGCACCACAAGTCACTTTTTTACGTAATTCTTACACAGTATAGAGAAAGTATTGAAAAGTTGCGGGTACAAATGGTGATTTCCGAAAGAAAAACTCAAAAGTACTATAATTTTCTGAAAGTAGAATCAAGAATAAAACGATTTTAAAAGAATTATTTTATCAAAAAAGGTTACATTTTTTTTCTTTTATTCTCCCCCCCCCCCGCGTATGTAGCAAAGAATGTTAAAGACATGGCAGTGTCCAAGAAACCTTGGAGTCAATCAGTCAGCGACCGTCGTGGCCTGAACACTGAAAGACCCCGGATGAATAACGTTCCCAAGTAAACGGGGAATAACCCCGGCTACAGGAAACTCGGAGTTGACTGAGAGGAAACTCTGTGTTGGTGCGAAGGCTCTTTGCCCACCCTCGCCGGCAGAGAGCGCGGACAATTGATTGATTAATCATTCCGGGCGTGTCAACTGTTAAGGTCATTAGTCCCGTAAGCGTGGTGCAGGTTTTTGGTGAAGGGAAGTTGTGTTAATCTCTCAACGCTGGCGGGCGAGATCCGGCGCCGACCTACACTTGAGGTCGTTTTCTCCCCAACCAGGTATCTCCCACCAGCGAGGCACCGCCCCAGCCGGGACAAACTCTAAGCTTCCGACCGGTCTCACGGCAGGTGTGGTAGTGTAATGCATGTCAGTATAGGTATGCGTAAAGGGGTGAGGATGGGACAAGTAAGAGGTAGGAAAGATCGCACGCCTGTTCAGGAACTACTCCGGCATTCGCTTGGTGTTGAAAACGACCCATCAGAGCGTCCGGCTACAAGAGTTTTTCAGACAGCGGCCGCACGGGAACGTGATCGAACGCAACGTCGAAACACTTCGCGCGAGTGGGCGGGGGAGGGCCAAGCGCGCGCGCGCGCGTGCGTGTGTGTGTGTGTGTGTGTGTGTGTGTAAGGGTGGGGGACTGCGATAGCGTCCAGGCAGGGTCGATGAGGCACCGGCTGCGAGAAAACCCATGACGCGTCTTGGGACAGCCTCCCCACGTGCTCGAGGGGCGCGTCCGAACGCTGCAATATGCGGCACGAAACTCAGCGGTATTTACCAAATCGTTAACACAGCAGTCCTCACACTAAATCCCGAACCTCAACGCTAAAGCGACGACAAACTTCGCTACAGCGTTTGAGTTTTACTGGTTTTTAAATTGTTACATACTAAAAACGCATCTTATAATAATTCAGGAAATTTTGCATGTTCTTTTATACGTATGTAATTCGTGGTGCTACAACAGCACGTACTTTCCTCGAATTATTTGTAACGGCTCTGCAACATTATAAGTCTACATGAACCCGCATGAGTGTATTCAACCAGCTTCATTTGTTTTTTCGCCGCGATGCTCGAACTCAGGTCCATTAAATTAACTCGCCACGGGCTTTACCGCTACATCACGTTGTACTATCGTAAGATAACGTTTAAAAATGTAATTGCCGCCCCCATTATTTTCAACACGCAATTTTAAAAAATTCAGAGTTTAACGAAACTGATTATTTTAAGCGTTCCTTTTTATGCGTGAAAAATATTTCAATAAAACATTTGGAGAATATTCATTTGGGAAAAAATGCTACGAAAAGTTTAGGCGCTAGAAGTCACTAGCCTTGCAAAACTTAATAAGTCTAGGATGAAATCGACAGATCTCCAGGGTCTACAAAATCGAATCGTGTGGTACACTGTCAAAGGCCTTCTGGAAGCTAATCAAAGACATGCTTAAATGACGCAGACGGACAGGGGGGCAAGCGGATGGATGTTTTGAAAACTACCACTTTTTCAGAATCATGAGACACCAATATATATTTCTGTTAAAATCTCGAACTCGACTTTTCAAAGCGTTGGAAGTTGGTATATAGGACCAGGTTTTACTCTTCTACTATTCTTAAAGTTACATTTCAATTTTATTATTAAGGGAACAAAGAATTGAGCGAATGTGAAAAGAAAAAAAATTCCTTTACGCGTCGCAGCTGGGAAAAGGACAGAGGAAAAACGAATAGTTAGTCCAGGCTAAAGAAATAATTAAACTTAGTTCGAGAAAGTTTGTGCCAATCTGTGATACCACTAGTTACGTTCTCGTACACATACATATAAACGGAGTCATATACTTAGTTTAGAGAAAGTTATGTACCGGATACTTTTTCACTATAATAATTTTTGGAATTTATGATCGATTTGATCCCTTTTCGGGGCAACTAGTCGATTAGGAACGAAGGCTGGGTGCTAAGACTGTGCTGCAAACACTGTGTTTTCTACGATGTGATTTATGAGCAGGTTTTTAACAGTAATGTTGATCAGGGCTGTTATAAACGAATGCTCAATAAACTGTTGTTGTTTATATTGAAGTACCCATTATTCTGTACACTTCATCAACGCAATTTTCGGTATTAAGGACCAACAAAACGTTGACTCTTACTACACATCATGTTGGGTGAAGTAATTTATTACATATATGAACACGAACTATCCACTTTCCTGTTTCAGGGACCTACAAAACGAATTTTTTGGCCGACAAAACGATGTTTTTCTCTGCAACTTAACATAACTTTCTCTACACTACGAATGTGGTATGCTTGGAAGTAAAAAAAGGCGTCCCTCTCTTCTTTGCTGTCGCAAACGCAGCAAACAAGAGCTTAAATCTTCGCGAGCAACAGCTCCGCCCGATCCGACTGACGTCACTCCGCCCCTATTACTGGCGGACTTCACAGAGTGGCCAGCCACAACGGGACCCCCTCCGCAGGGTTATTCCGCAGCTAGCTAGCGTCTAGGGAAGCTAAACAACAATGAACATCACAATATACACAGCAATATACTGGTGACAGCGATGTGTTAGTTTTTTTGTTAATATTAGTTTTTTGCGCTCTCTTGTTTTCTCTGACCAGAATAGTGCTTTAAACGCAATTAATTTATTGCACAAAGGCCCAAGTAGGCACTTCAAGTAGGCAATACCCGGAGTTCTCGGGCGAGTTTTAAAACTGTATTATGAAACTACGATGACAGTTATGCAGTCTTAAGATACCAGAATTAAGAGCAGATTGTCTAAGAAAGTTTGAGAAACATCTCCCTCCCCCAACCTGGCATAAACTGCTTATACTGTATGAGGGATAGTCATCTGAAGCAGCGATCTATTTGACTAGTATCTAGGTGTCAGCAGGTTCCGACTTCAGCCCGCGATCGAATGCTGGCGAGCAGACTTCACGTCTGCTGTCGAAGACGCAATGAAACAGAATGCCACATGAAATCTCTGCCTTCTTCTTGACACTACTTTCTTCGCTAAGTGGATTGCACTGCAGGCGCTAGCTTTCCTAGCAGCAACCTCTGAATGTGGTCCCGGACGTTTGCAAATGAAAGATGAGAAGACGTGCCAAAACAAACAACAGCTATCAATAAGAGCTAAATTGCGATTCAACATACAACATTATAATTTATTTAGTAGACTTCACCTTCAAGACAAATAGATAACTGAGGAATGGTGTACGACGTACACTTATAATCTGAACAGTTAAAACATACAACAGAAGATGGATGGGTCGCCCACATTAATTTCCTTCCAAAAGCGGACTACTTAGGGTGGAAAATCAATTGTCTTCAATAGCAATTGAAATAAATCTGTATCCATTGAACTCGATAAAATAATCTCAATCCAAAGAATACCTGAGTAGTTTATGCCGTCAACTGAGCAGTGTATGTAGTTTAGATGGAGATAGAGGTTGACTAAGTCTCCGTGGATTTGAGAGTGACGCGTAAAGCAGGGGCCGTTGGTGAGTTTTCTCAAGAAAGAGTTTCGAAATGTATGAAGGAGGCCGTGAACCGAAGGAAAGAGTTGAGCGACTGACAGTTTTGAATAGTTGCCTACTTCGGAGACTTCATTTTAGAGAGAACGGATTAAGTAACGATACACTACCATCATGTACTACTTTACATTTTGTGCATGTCTTACATGTACTTTCGGGTAAGTAATGGTACTTTCGGGTCAAATCCAAGTTCTGGATTTGTTCAGAAGAATGCCAGGATTTGGAAGAGTTGGTTAGCGTTAGAGGATTAGACGTAATGAGAATGATCACTGACTTTTGAAGGGTCCTGTTTGATGTATAACGGGATTCCACAAGGTAAGTTTCTAATTGAAGTTTGGTGTCAGCATCCTCGACGTCAGATGAAAAGAAAAGCATCGCATCGCTAATGAGCAGGGCTCGAATTCTAAAGACATGTCATCTTTTCATTGGTGCATTCTACACGTAGCTAATTTGTAAGTGAATGTTTATCATGACATGTAGGCATGATAGAAGTGTATAATTCGTGGGTCATTTTTTGACACCTTCAGTTTTTAGGTCGTGTTTCTAACCCTTTGCATAATTTTTGTCATTATAACGCATTTTGTTTCATTTTCGTGTTTTTTGTTAGTGAATGTTTAACGAATTTACAATGACACTAAAACAATCAAGAGCATATGACCAAATTCACTAGTTCAGTGGACAATTTTTTTTTACTTTCAAAATTACACGTATCTTCGAAAACTTCCTCGACCTTTCAAAACTGACGGTTGAAAGATCGGATCTAAAGATTACATTTCCTTCTAAATTAATGCCTTTGAATTAAATATAATTTTAAACAAATACATTTTATTTAATGTTGAAAAATTCATTTAATCAATACACGTTAAAACGTTTTTTAAAATATTTTTAGTATTTTATATATTTAGTATTTTTAAACTTTTTTTTCAATTAGGTGTCTTTTTACTTATTTTTAAGTCATTCTATAGTCCATTTTTAAAGATATTTTAGGTCAGCAGAATCCGAGCCCTTATAATGGGTGTTCGAGGATAGTTCCCCATTTCGTCAGTTGTTGTGATCGCTGCGGAGAACAGCTAATCCTGACGCAATCCGAGCGTGGTTTTGCGAGTGTTGGCCAGAGCAGGAGGACCGCGAGTGCCTGTGCGGAGCCGGG